CTATACAAATGTAATTAATCTTAAATATTCGTCAAAAAGAGTGTGTTTATGATAGCTCAAGCTTTTCAAACTATATACCAGTTTAGAAATCTCTTAAAAATTAGAAACAATCTGATATTTTACGAGTGAACAGATTAAAAAAAAAAAACTTAAAACACCCACCATCATCACCACCACTAACAAGACACCTATTAAATTAAGTAAAAAAACTAAAATCAATTAATCTATACGCGCTATAATTCCAGAGACAGACAAAAAACAGTCCTGAAACATGGTTTCAAGCGACAGGGTTCATAACGTATCTGATAATGTACCTATGTCAAGCATAAACATGAGCGTCTGTTATCTCTTCAATGAGTAGTCATATAAGATGCAATTGTATGTTTGTGGTGTGCCTTAGTGCAGGCGGGTGTGTCGCACGGCCACGCCGGAGGAGGGCCGCGCGCCCATTTCTGAGGGGGGAGGCATCTTCCCAGCAGCCAATATTATACGGCCGTAGTTAGCGCGCACTGATATTAAGAATTCCACAGTACACAGAGTAATTTACCGAGAGATTATTTAAATGATTATTAATAGTTATTATTAGTTCTGTTTTTACAATGACAAGGCTGATTTGAACTAAGTTTTTTCTACGTGTGGAAAACCCCTCGGGACATCACTCCACCGGGGTTTGCGGTAGGGTAGTGTGTCGGAATCGGACCGACTAACACCACACGGTGTGCCACTCTACGCCTGTAATAGGAGGGATGCGGGAACTGCTGTTATTAAGACAGCGAACCCCTTCTAGCGCCTGCCCGCAATGGCACGAGCACCACCTTCTGGTACATTCTCTATTTAGGCGACGTCCGGCACACGCGGACGTAGCCTCCTAGCGGCTGGCCGTTATGGCGGGTGGAGGGGAAAACTCGTCCCGTCCAAGATACATTGGCCTTTGTCTTTGTGATTATTCATAAATCTATCACTGGCTCTCTTATATTGTGCACAATTATTCAGATATGATATGTAGCTTCGATATTAAGTTACACACAATGATTTTTCAAACAACTAATTATCCATTGTTTTCCTAATGAAGCATTCTCTGTACCCTTACACTACACTATAGTCTGAGATTGGAGCGAACGGCACAAAGTTGGTAATTGAAAAATCTTTCCGGTCCCCGTTAGCCTCCCCCTCCGACCCCCCTGCAGCCCTCTCGCCGTGGCCCACGGTGCTCGTGAAACAAAACTAAAACTGTAATTACATGTGTTAAATTTAATTAAAATGGAAAATAAAAACTTTTAAATGTTTTTATGCTGACTTTATTCTCAGTACATTTCAAAGTCGCGTAGGTTTCGAAGTTTATTGGTACATTTTCATTGATTTTTTAAGCGCAAAACATCGACTAGTGAGAATCGTTTTAACGTGAGGGACAAGCTTTCTTTGTTAATGACATCATTGCAACTCAGTAAATTATTTTAATACCAGTTATCTCTAGTCTAGTATCACAAGTATCTGTGCCTCACATGAACAAGGTGTATTTACTTAGGAATAAAATCCACAGGTTTGTACCACCAGGACTAATTTAAAGTAGTTCCCTATTTATTTTTGACATTGAACAAGCCACGGTCCTTAATTGCATTTATCATAACATATTTTTCTTTTAGCAACTGTTCTAGTATGAAAACAAAAGTGGAGCAGGGACGCAAAGAGAATGAGGTATTATTACTATTTACTAATGTTAACTTCATTCCTATATTACAAAGAAGATTGAACCGAATTGAAAATGAAATAACAAGTAAACAAAGAGTTTAAAGACGTGTATATTTAATAATTCAAGGGTAAATACTTAAACTCCTATTCTTAAGTAAAATCTAGCTCTAAAACTCCTTTTAAACAAACCTTAATCTTTTACGCCACATCAATACTTACATTATAAATGGGACAGTGAGTTTGTTTGTTACTCTTTCACGTCTAAACTACTAAATCGGTTTTACAAATTCTTTTACCTATGGAAAGCTGCATTATCAGCGAGTAACATAAGCTACTTTTTACTGTGATAACCGACATATACTTACATATACGCGACCGACATATAGTGATATAGTGATTCCTTATGCATACACAGTCAAAAAATATTAATAACAAACAGGCCAAGATGTCAGGCCATTCAAAGGTATCTGTCACCCTAGCAGAAGCAGGCCGGGGTGGCAGCGAGCGCGTTGCGAAGCGCACTCGCTTCCAGGGAGCACAGGGAACATGGGGTTCCCACACGGGGCGGGGGTCGTCTACTCGTCTGTAGATGACCCGAGGTATGTCGGGGCACCAGGGCCTTCCTTTCTAGGGTATACCTGGTTCCCCGGCTATTAGTACCCGGCGAAGGCGTGCGGTTTTAGTCGGTTCGAGTCCGACATGCCACCGACAGGTGGTATCCGAGGGGATTTCCGCACGGAAAAAAAAAAAAAAAAAAAAAAAAAAAAAAAAAAGGCCATTCAAAGGTATGTAATTCCTATGATGACATGTATTCGAGCTAATTCCCAAACGTATTCACAATCGGGTAGAGAAACTGTCAGGTTAAATCAGTATCTTTCTACTAAATGTCTAAACAACAACAATGTTTTGTATGAAATAATGCGGCGGGACGTTCTACCCAATAGCCATTGTCAAATCATCTATATTTAATATTGATTTGAAGATATTAAAACAATAAATCTATGAAATTGAAAATGTAGGATAATTCAGGTTGTATTTTAAGAGGTTACATTTCATTATTCAGGCAAAATATTTATCTACAGTTTGAATATATATTAATTACCAGATTTTACACGCAGTTCCGCCCGCTTGTTTGTCGGTTATCGATATAAGAAGTATGTCCATGTTACTCGCTGATAATGTTGCTTTTCATTTGTAAACCAAATTGCTTTTGATAGGTTCATTATAAGTATATTCACTTTCACATTTTGACATACTTAACAGCTGCTGTATTTGCATACGTATAATATTAAATTAATTAACATATGTTTACCATTGTGGTATTACCGGCACGGTTGATAAACATGCTAAACCTTAAAAAGTAAAAGGAGATCCTCGCCTATGCCAACATATGTTTTAATGTAAATAAATATTTTATTATATTCCACGGCAATAAACCTGTAATTTTTTGATTTAATGTAATTAAATAAGAAACAGATCAAAATTTGTTACAATTCTTGTTGATAAATCTATGAATCTCCTGCCACAAATACTTATTTTAGCCTTTTCAAGGTGTTACATATGAATATTTTAATGAATGTATAATTTGTGGCGAAAAACAATAATAATGAGTATAGTTGTTGAACGAATATAGTTCATACGTGAACATATCACGTAAATAATATCGTGAAGGCGAATGATTTAAAAACCGCAGATATCACTTGATTCGAGGTCCAACGCGGGTGAGTTACTGAGCCCCACCCCACTGGTGGACAGTAGGGGGTGTGCTGTCCGTGGGGTGTGGGGGCCATTCGTCAGCTCTCTCAGAAATGTTTTCATTTTTATTTCATAAATAAAGAGTGGAATTCCGGCTGCCCGTAATGAGGGACCGCGGCGGCGGCGTGTGGCGTGTGCGCGCGGAGGGCTGTACTCAGTTTGTGATAGTGATGATATTTGTACCTTTCAAGTATTTGTGTTTTAACGAGCTATTCTTCAACGGTACACGAACGAAGTCAGGATCACTAACCGCTAGATAAACAGGCCCGTCAGTGTATAGACTCATAGCATGGTATTTCAACGTATAAATTGAACCCGTGTGTGAACCCAGATGTAGTCGTTTTCAATCGTAGATATACAATTTTGAACTTATATAAGGTTTTAGTATTTTAAATTGATGCTTCTCCGTTTGCAAAACGTTCTTAAAAAATTGTATTTATAATTTTCTTCACGTGAGGTTAGAGTAATATGTAGAAACCCAAAGGCTTAGGACCGACACGGCTTTCAAAGAGGTGAGAACATAACCTTCTCTCAGATTCACAATTCAGAGGTAAATACGTAAATTCTAGGGAAATTGATGGTGCCCTGTTCGCATTAGAGCTTAATTAAATACACGTCCGCTTTTACCGCCTATATCATAAATACTGAATAAATTAGATCAGGTGGGATAAAGCCATATGCTTTCCATATGCATAGCTATACAGTGTATTTATGAATTACTTCTCATATAATTGTCATCTAATTTAGATAACATATTGCTGATACACTTGGTATAGATAGTAGGTAATCTCGTTATAACACACTAAAGACACAATCATAAAAAATGTATGGGGAATGGAAAGGGATGGAAAAATTACTTGTACACGAGCGAAGCTATGGGTAAAAGTTAGCCGTCATATAAAATCAAACGAATTTTCTACACCAAATCCCATGGGAGCGGCATTTGTGGCACGTGGTGGCCGCCTATGAATACGTTTGCTACGCACCGCTACGTACTCGTAGGCACCGGGTGCTACGGTTAGATACGAACTCGCCACCCCCACGGCCTTCGCAACACGCTTGTAATCTCTTCATTGTGCCATAGTGTATGTACGACTCAATATTGCACTCGGTGATGTAGGCAGCGTTGTCAATATTTCCACTTCACATATATTTGAAACAAATACTTTGAGATGCAATTATACGTGAGCAGTGGAGTTGAGAATGAACGGTTTACTTTGATCTCCACTTGTCCATCATTATCCCAGTATCTGCATTCCAATTAATCCCTCTACTGTGGTTATTCTTCGAATTGTCCAGTTCACCAGATATCTATTTCAAAATTGGATTCTCGTCGTAGACCTGCTTCCAGATCCATGTCGGACGAGTCCGATGGTCATTTTATAGATACCTTTCACTTTAGCAAAATTCTGGGATCACATATTGTTTCTGTTATCTGTCTCCAGTCCTTCTCTATAAAATAGTTACATAGCCATGATTATATCAATACTAATATAATAAATACTGAAAACGAAATAAAATGCTTGCGTCTAAAAAATAATATATTTATAATTCAAATGTACCCACAAGTAAAGTTCAAACGTTTCCCTCCTGAGTCGCTCGTCGAGAAAATTGGATATTCACATTACATGAACCCTATTGTAAGATTTGAATGAAAATTGAGAAGTGGCTCCCTCCCCCCCGGGGCGAACCGATTACGTTGTAAACAACTCGCGACATTCGCGTCAAGTGTTTAAAATTGTGCTCTCAAACAAGCCCTGCCGGTACCGTGCGGAGGCTCCGAGGGTAAAAGGCCAAAGTAATTGGTGTCGAGAGCGTCAGGGGCGGCGGTAGGCCCTCCGACATATTGCAAACATATTCTCCGCTTGAAATTTATTGTAAATCGCGGCGGGAGGGGATTTGAATTCGGCCCCTCGCACTGTCAATAAACCGAATGGACTTTGGAAATTCGCTACATTCGCCCCGTGTTTGTGTTTGCTGCCTTCGCTTTTTCTGTTCCTGCGAAAAAACCTCGTCCCGCACGCACCCCTCGGCCCCGCATTCCCCCCGCGGCGCGCTTCCGATTTTATTTATCTAAGGTTTTCCATTCGTTCGTAATTGTGTGAGTTGCGAGCTCAATTGTTGCTAAAGCGAATATTTATTTGGGCTTCAGTTTGCTTTCCATTTGCGCGCTGTATCTAAGTATGTATGTGTCTGTGTCCGGGCGCGGTCGGTTCGCTCACTTTTAGCGGCATTGTGCCACAAATTGAATTTGCGGGGACTCAAATCAAATGTTGTCGTAAGAAATGACTTGTCGCCGTCGACTGACACTATCAAAAAATTGATCGACCGCCACGGCCACACAGCTCACCGCATGCTCTAGTATATATATAGCCGCGCCGATCCCTCAACAAGGCTGTGGCATTACAATAACCGCGTTATACGTGCCTATCCGGTACATCACATTGAGGTATATACATGTTTGTGTATGATTTGTGTTATCACAATTGGTTGTATATAGCAGTAGAGGCATCACGCGGGTGTCGTATAAATCTAAACGGCGCACACGCCAATAACATTAGTACAATGAAAGGCCGGCGTGCAATCAGCATTAGCCGGAATATATTTCGCGTAAATCTTTCACGGCAACTTTTATGTATATCGTAAAAAACGGGCAAGTGTCCGCCGAGTGAGCTATAAATATGCTCGTAAAGCGAGCGGGCCTGTGCCGCGCCGCGCCGCGCTGTGCCGCTCCCCACCGCGCGGTACCCCGACACCGACACCGACATTTAAACGTTATCGACTCTGTTATTTAGGACACATCATAAGAGGTTTTCCTTTCCTTTACATACATATTTTTAAGATTGAAATACAGATCAAGGCGGTCTTGAAGTAAGGTTTTAACATAAAAATTGGTACTTCTGAATTTTACAGCAACTAGGCTGTCATTGGAACCGCTTTACCGATGTAGTCTTATCATCATGTAAATAATAATTAACGAGAAAAAAGAGAGCAATTACGAACGGTTAAACCAAAAACAAAAAACACATTTAAGAGGTTGTAGAAGTGTTCCGATGTTCATAACACAAGGAATATGTGTCCTCTTAAAAATCGCTAAGTTGTAGATTTTTAGATATCACTACTTTTTAATCTTGTCATCCTTGTTGTTTTTCAATTTACTCAATTACACTACCTCCTCATTAAGTTATGAAGGAGATATAAAAACATTGTTTCATGGCGCTGAGCTCGTCGAGGACTGACTTCTAGGAAAAGGCCGACAAAAGTACATTATAATAATTGTCGGCCTTTTCCTATAGTAGTAATCCACAACCTCCTTTCTAATGAGAGGCCTATGTCCATCACTGGGCTATTAAAGGCTGTTGATGATGATGATGTTATATTCATGAAATCCTTTTATACGTCAAGTTAAATGAATAATATAATAATGATAAGCTCACACATCTCACACACGGCTGTCTGATCCCAAACTAGGCAGAGCCTGAACTCTGGTAACCAGACTGCTGATAAACATACTTATATATTTGTAAATATTTACATATTTTAGGAATTAAATGTGTGAAAATATTATTAATATAGATAAATTATACCCAGACACAGAACAAATGATCGTGCTCATCACACAATTATTAGTCCTGAATGGGAATCGAACCCATGACTTCTGGCTTAGCAGTTCGGATTCTTAACCATTAGTAGTGTAACATTTGAAAGGCAGTTTCAAATTAACTTTGCTTAATTTCTGTAAGTAATTTTGAATAATGAGTTAAGAAATTTGAAATTACTGTGAGTATAAAATGAAAAATTGCTAAAAATGAGTGCTCCAAAATGTTTTTGAAGTTCTGATAAGTCTACTAAAAGACACAAGGCCAACATGATGAACTACCTGGGGAATTATTGAACTGTGCTATGTAGTTACCATGTGCGTAATATAACCCCCGTATTTTAATTTACAGTTGGTGCTCTGCAACCCAGACCCATCGGTTGGCTAGCGCTTGACTGCAGACCCCGCACCACGATGTCCGCCAGTAGGTAAACAACCCGACGATAAACTGTGTACATTGTTGTATAATCGAGGATATATTTTGCTCAGATCAGAGGCCGTTAGAGTCGATGGTATCGGTTCAATCATAGTAAGCAGGCTTCTGCGGACATAACCGCGGGGCATCACACACCGATATCATATCGTTACACCAAACTTTACTCGACTACACGACACAACACAAAGAGGCGCAAACCAAAAGAGATGTGGCATATTGCACCATCATTTTACTAAGGAAAACTAGTCTTTGTCATTTTGTTTATTGGTCAACTTAGTACAATTATATTAAACATTTATTTTGATCATTCTAAGACAATAAATAAGTATACTGCCAAATTATGAATCTCCCTTTAAACTCGATAACAATAGGGAAAAACATAAAAAAGTATTTGTCCGTAAAGGTTTTACGGACAAATACTTTTTTGAGAGCCAAGAACACATTGACATTCAGAATTGCACAGATATTATACACGCCTTTTGACACTAACTTAGTCAATAAGCAATACATAATACATGTGAATTTATAAAAGGTACTTTTTTTATAAATTACAATAATTTACAATACAGTATGGACTTCCATCAATAAAACAATAAAGATAATGAAATAATAGCTCACGACAGGTAACCATCTTGAATTTCATTTCGCTGATAATGTTAGACTGCTTGTATCCACGCTGATTGTGACTATGAAGTCGAGGATGATCAGAGAATGTGTGAGGATCACCTCGTCATGCCGTATCAACAACACCGTCGGGATTCAGACATGAATGACGCGATTGAACGCGATTCTCTCTAAGACAAAGTGTGTTATTTCTCGCGGGATCCCTCCTGGGGAGGTCCACTTTCAGGAATGGGGAGGGAGGTGTTCTACGTACTATGTAGTAATATTTTTACGAGCGGTTTTTATTGTTGTCGCGCGCGATAAATTTGTCATCGCTGCCTCTTTTCGTCCCGCGCCCCGCATCGCCTCGCGCCTCGTTCCCTTCCCATCCCGAAACACTGCAATGTTAAATTGTCTCTTCATTACATTATAGATGATGCAAGTACCAATTTCGTTTGATCTTCCCAAGTTCATTCGCATACGTACACACAAAAAAGTCAAGTGCCTCCAAAGCTTGTTAAAAATATAATATTCTGAAATAAGTTCAGGTGATTTTTTACTTATCTCTACTGTTTTTACGATGCTTTTATGCTTGATGACCGATGACGATTTGTGTTATTCACTGCTTTTGCGACCTGCAAGTATTGTTTAGCTTTATAAATGAGTACGTTGCCTTGAAGAGCATTTAAATTGTTACCAATATATCAATTAAACTAAATAAAAACAAACTAATAGATAGTAAAAATATTTCTTTGTGTCCTGCGCAGACAACTTTAGCTTATGTTTACATAGGAAAGGGAGGCATTGTAAGCGCACAGGACTCTCACTCACTCACTTGTTGCAGCTCCTGACAACGACGCCATGGCACCTGATGAGGACCTGGATTTGGAAGATCACGAGTGCTGCCCTTGGCAAATGAAGCGTGCACGTGCTCAAGAGAGAGTTATTGTCGATATGAATGCAAGGGGTTTTGAAATCGGGTACAGATTCCGTGAAGATGGAACAGAATTCCTTCCAACAGGATACAGTACCAACAATAGTAGAAGCGATGTTCAAAATACTTTTAGAGATCAAGTTGCGCCTGTGAAAGCTTACAGCGTATCTGAAAATGTTGATTCGAAAACGAATTATGGTATTCCAACAAAAAGTTACTCCACATACGCACGTGAATACGTTTCATCGTTGAAAAGTTTTTTTTCATCTAGTAGAACTGATTATAATAGTGATAATGTTTCAACATCAAAAACTTCTGCTACACGTGATTATGTTCCATCGTTAAAAAGTTTTTTTGCATCTAATAAAAACGACAAATTCCGTGATTATGTCTCATCATCAAACGATCACGGGTCCTCAGCTAAAGATGAATATAGACGTGATGAATATAAAGATGAAAATAAAAATTACAATGATCGTGGTTATGTTTTATCATTAAAACATTACGGTTTATCTGGTAAAGATGAATATAAACGTGATCATGTAACACCATCAAAAAATTTCGGCTCATCCAGTAAAGACGATTATAAACGTGAATTTTTTTCACTACCAAAAACTTATTCTGACTCAAATAACAATTATAATAACCGTGATTATGGTTTACCAACAAAAGATTACGGTTCATCTGGTAAAGATGACTATAAAAATGAACTTGAATCATCATCAAAAGATTTCAGCTCAACTCGTAAAGATAATCGAAAATATGTATCACCATCAAAAGATTTCGACTTATCCAGTAAAGATAATCGTGATTATATATCACCATCAAAAGATTTCGGATCATCTAGAAAAGATGACTATAAACGTGATAATGTATCACCATCAAACCATGCGGGCTCATCTGGTAAAGATCACTTTATATATATATCACCCTCTGATGATGATGATAACTTGGCATCGCCCAGTAGCGTTTCCTCGTTCCTAAGAGAGTACTCATACGCTTGTAAAAAAGAAGTATCAAAAGAACCTTCAGAAGTATACAAATCGCCATGCAAAACAAATACGATTGAAAGAAAATGTTGTCAGTTATGTGAAAGTGATCAAATTAGCACCTACGATAATGATGAATATGATTCCAAATGTACCTTAGATAAGTCATAGTTTTCAATAGCTTTTTTTATTTTTCCAATTTTCATATTTTTCAACTAGTTGCTAATTCTGTTTTGCAGTTATTAAGTGAACTTTATACTTGATTCAATACAACTGGTCCATGTTCACCGCGTCTCTCTTCAGCCATCACAACCTACGTAAATCCAAATAGTACGTACGAACGTAGATTAGGAACCAGTGGTAGTGGAATGCTTCTCTAATTGTTTAACTGCTGGCTAGTGGAAGGAGATAGCGGCATCGTGGGACACCACCAAGTATGGCCGTAGTAGAAGTCGATTCCCGACGAAACCCAAATTGGTCGTCTCCCAAATCTGGACTTACCTCAATACCGAGTACGATATGGTGGCTGTCAGGATTACGTCTAGTTCCGCTATTTTTTTATTAAAGTCCTTGTGCCTGTTCTACTACTGTCTTTTATTTGTAAGCAACAACTTAGATTTTTACGTCTGATTTCAATTATCCACATTATATTTGTACGACATCTGCGACGATATTCCTAGGTCTTGCCTATCTTAGACAAAATATTTATAAAACACTAAGTCAAAGTAAGTTTAAACACATACACGTAACAATGGGTTTTTTCAACACCCAAATGTAAAGTTGTAATAGTAAATAAAACTTATTAATGCGATATAAGTACACAAAAACTATTTAATTAGGAAAATGACGACCGCTGTTGATTCGTGTTTTGAGACCTTGCCTTTTACCAAACCTCATGAATGGGAAAAGGTAGTATTTGTAGGTTTTGTTTTATCTGCGAAATCTTCAAGTCTGAGTCTAAAGTGTGAGGTACAAGTGGTCGTATCTGTAAATTGACTTTGATTTTCGAATATTTTAACTTGATACATCCATGCGCTTCTGAGAAAGTTAAAATACTAAAATATTTTACATTTAGAAGCAGTTTTCACAAACATCAAAAAAAAGGTTGAAAATTCTATTGAATTTTATATGTTTCTTGCCTCAGTACTCCGTCATTTAGGAACCGATTCTGACAATTCTTTTTTGTTTTAGAGGGTATACCCCTGTTTGATTCCTATTATATTTGTATAGAAATGCAACCCCTAAAGGTTGATCAACCAATTCATCTAGATGTAGGAGGATTAAAGTCCGTAATACTTTTAAAAGTTGATGAAAATTTCATAACTTTAGTTCAATTGTAATTAAATGAATATTTGTAATACAGAGCTAGGACAAGAGTACGCTTTCTCATAATCCTAGGGCTAGCGGGCGACGTGGCGGCAACGACCGATAGCGGGGGCAAATATTGATTCACTTAATGTATTTATAAGTTATTAGCCACGATTTGCACCTCCTTTGTGTGTAATGTTGATATTTTAATGGAGTGTTTATGTATACAAATGTGGAGCGGGTATTCACTGCAATTGTGTGCCTGGATATACAGCGTGATCACGCTAGGAACATTTATAGGCCAGAGTAATTCCATCCGACAAGGGTTTTTAAACAAGTTATTAAGCAAATAATGCGCAATTACACTAGTTTTCTTACTCCTAGCCAATCTAATCTTCTGGCCAATGGTGGCTGATCGTCGGCAGATCACCGTTGACCTTACTCACTACGTGAAATCCAACGAAGGGGTTGCTTAACACTGGCCTTCTGTGAGGTCGTCTCTTATCACTCCGGTTGAGGCGGCACACTTATGCTGAAGCGTTGCTTTCTACGGTTTCTGTTAGTTGTTATTTCTTTATTTTCATTATCTATATCAATGATTTACGTCCATTGCTCGAATTGATGAATGATTTAAATTGCAAACCTACAGGTTCCTAATATTCAATGTATATATGGATCACTTACGTCAATAGTTAATTAATTATCTGAGAAGTATATTCTATATACATAGTAAGCAATAAGTAGAAGCATTTTGCCCCAACGGTCATAAATAAAGTAAAATTTACGATGAAACTTACGAGCAAACGAAGCCGTAAAAGAACGTCTGTTTTTCCGCGCTGAAGACATCCGACATCTGAATATTCCACACTTACCTCTAGACAATCAGTAAGGTATTTATGGCCGTTACAATCAATGTTCATAAGTGTTACTGTGTTACGTTGATGAGTAATAACATTTATTATATTCTCGACGAACACAGCTCTATTTAGACCAAAACTAAGCGACAATAACAGCTTATATTTTTGATAACCGAGCAGAGGAATATATTACAATTTTCATTTATTTGTATGTGCTTTCAAATGTTATCACCTTGTTGGGAATCTAATTCGACGTATTATCGAAGGCTCTGCCACCACGGCCTTTAAGTGACCGTTAGTGACCACTTACTAAATCCAAGGCTGTTTTATTAAATAAAAAATTAAAAAGTTCTGAAAACCTTAATTTTTTAGTGTTGGGCATTGCATATCAAAAGTCTGCTGTACAAGCTAGAATATTCTAGAAGTATAATTGGAAGTATTAGTATAACAGGTGGGCTTATAATAAAAGGGCTGGGCTTAGGGCTGTTAAAAGCTAAGAACAAGCTAATCATTGAAAAAAGCAAATTCGACTGCGTGTAAATGAATACTTAAAACCAACCGGGATTATACGAGTAACTTCCAAATTTTCATATACTACTCTCACAATCAAGATGAATCTAACGACACCTCCTAAGCCAAAATCCAGAAAGCCGTTTAGATTACAAGCCGTGCCAAAGAAATATACATGCTTACATACATATACATTCAGTCGAAAAGCATAACCTTCCTTCTAGCGCGGTCAGATAAAAAATTATAATTGTTTAACTTTATTAGTATTTGCATTATTATCGAAACAGTTGATACATACACACATATATATGTATAATGTCTGGTTTTTTATGCTCACACGGTTATTTGCACGATACCGATGCCTAAGAACCAGTTTAATTTATTTTGTCTATCTGCCTGTTTGTTCCGGGTATTCTTCTAAACGGCTGGACTGATTTTGATAATATTTAGGCTATTTTTCCTCTAAGAAAAACGTAGGTCCGGGAATCGAACCCACTAAGGCAGCGCTTTTCAAATTCCACGCAAACGAAGCCACGGGTATCAGCTAGTTTGTAATATAGGTTTTTATGGAGGAAGGTAACGATAATTTTAAAAGCAGTGTGTGACTGTGCTCTTCGAATAAATATGCCTAATAATAATTATTAAGTATGCTACGAGTATTACCCATAACATACCATTTCAAAACCCTACATGATCTCTTAAATCCTACTTACCAAATGGTTCTTTTAGGGAAAATCAGAGAACTGCAACTTAAGGTTAACAGTATTGGCCTATTTTATAGTAAAGAGGTCATTTTTCTGATGCGCTATATATAGATTTATGCGAAGACCCATTAAAGGTTAGACAACAACCTGCCAAGGGGTAGCGCGAGATAAGCGAGCTAATTCACATTGGTAACCTAGATTGAATCTAGAGTTAGCGTCCTCCTGTATGATAATGATTGGCACGAATTGTGTTTATCCGTGTCTGTCCGTGTGTGTGCGTGAATCGCCCGCGTCGCTTTCAAGCTGTTTGCTTACGATAACTTTCTCGATATCGCCTTATCGAACACCGGGTAAACATCGCCTATCTTCGCCATGAAATAGAACGTAACGTTTATTGGACTAGAGTAATAAACATATTCAAATTCTCGATCACAAACCTTAATACATACTCAGTTTTTAAGATTTTGAATTGCCAGGCCGATAAATTAACAACAAAAAAATTTGAACATTTTATGAAATTTAATGACAGATATTTAAAAAAATAAAAAAAGACAAAATTCAAAAACTGTTTAAAATAAAAATAAAAGTATTATTTTTAGTATTTAAGCTGTATATAGGTATGAAAATGATCATCAAACTTTTAAAACTCACGTTATAATGTATCACGTCTCATCGATCTACATGCGACAGTTTACGTTCTATATCATAAATGATCGGCTGCGATGCGCCCGCGCCGGCACTCACGCGTACTTAGTTTAACCGCGACCGCACCTGTGATCTGTGACTCAACTAGCCGCCGACCTTTACTGACTCTTGTGTTGTTCTTCTTGTGTCGCTCAATAACGAACTTTGGCATCTAATCTGTTTTCTTCTGGGAGTTATTTGAGCAGTTCCACTATCTATGGATTTGAGTCAGGTAGGATTTGTTCTGTGTTGTGTTTTATGCTAATGCTCACTAGTTCTGGATTGTAGTACACATGGAAATGAGAGATATCTTCATTTTAATAAGTCACAAAAAAATCAAGACTTTAGTTATAGCGAGATGATTATGTTCGATGGTTATTTTGAATTTATTTTTATTGTAATCATAAAGCCTATTATATTTGTAATGAAATTCAATTTATAGTGTCATGGTTCCTGTATAACAAAGGTTTTGTAAAATGTATGAACTCATTACCATGGCGGTGTAGTGCCAGCCACATAGCATGTCTTACGTGATGCTATTGTTTATGACGGTAACATTTTGATTGCATCATGAATAATTTCAGCTGGTTTATCAACAGCTGTAGCGGTAATGACATGAAGACATGCAAATGTCAACTCGGACGCTCATTTTTTTGGAACATCAACTGAAAAGTTCATCATTCCGAAAAACATTTATTCATTATGTTTGTGTTAACCTTTATAGTTTTTATACTTTGCTTTTACTAAGTATTCAGTGTAAATGTGTTTAACTCTTTTCATTTAGTATTTAAAAGTATTAGTGTAAACGTATAGGTACGATTTTATATAATTTGTAATTTGCTTAAAGTATATGTAGGACTTAGAGTCCGTGTGGTGACGGATTAGGAATTCGGAGTGTCACCACCCCTATGTATCTCATGGGTGTCAAAAGAACCGCCTAAGGGAGCAAACTACACAGGACTGGCCAGTGTGGTATAGTAAACGGACAGGAATAGGTAAAATTATACTTTACCCGTTTTAGTGAGTGGACTCAGTTGAGAGAGCAGAGACTAGTAGCGAGTTCTTTAGTGTTAAGAGATTTGAGATTCACACGTTTTGTGTTTTTTTT